AAGCTGCTAAATATTTCCACCAGAATGCTCCAGAATCTAGGGACCTTGCCCCGAATTTAGGTTCAGCTTGCTACAATAGTACACAGGCCTTTGGCTATACCAGTCACTGGATTTTAAAATCAATTATTTTCACTTTAAGAACATGCTTCAGGGGGAAAAAAAGCAAAATATTTGGTAAACAGCAAATGAAAAGACAGAGTTCTAGGACTTACTTCTAATTTAACAGTATCGGGATGTGGAAGTAAACACACTCTTTCTTGCAGCTTTTTTTCTGCTGCTTCTATATCCTAAAACACAGGCAAAGTACATTTTAAAACCAAACACTGGGAATTTTAAAAGGAAAATGCACACTTACATAAAGACATTGAAATTAACTAAATAAACCCATTACAGCAAACCAGCATTCAAGTAACACCACTGAAGTTCAAATCTTTCTGTTTAGTCACTCTGAAATCCAACTTGTACTAGTAAGACTAACATCCTACAGTTTCTAAATATGTTTGCTGTATCTTTTTGATACAAGAATAAATTTCATGACCACATAAGACTGTTGCTGTAAAACTCCATTATTCTCTCTGGACACTAGGGTAAATTACAGTTAAATTCTGTTCTGTAAAACTTAAGAAAATAGAGGGGAACAGAATGGTTTTTCTCTGTGCTGCAGGAAGACTGAAGTATGTATTCTAGCTACTGTAACTGTAAAGTAACTAGGCAAATTATGTGCAAGATCTTTACTCCTCAAGACAAAGATGACTTGCTAATATGCATGCATAACATGTGCACAAAAATGTAGAGCTGCAGCAAGCTGTTCACCAGACAAACTTGGATGACAATGCACCTCACATAGCTTTCTTACAAAAAAATCAGTATTTGGGTTTCTTCTTGTCCAGTGGATGTGTGCTGGATTCACAAAGGCCTAAATATTTTTTTTTTAAAAAAAGAAATAACCAAAAAACCAGCAGCAACAAACAAATCAAAACAGCTCCCCAAACTAACCGCCCTCCCCCTTTAAAGTTCTGACCCATTCTTGTGGGCTTAGTTCCATACCCAAACATTGAAGAGATTGAGTGGTGGGCAGATGAAGAGAGACAGAAAGGGACGTGGGAGTGGGGTGTGAAGAAGCCAAAGCTGAACAGAGTGGAGGGGGAAAGAAAGTATAGCAGATGGCAGAGTTGGGAGCAGAGAGCGGGTGTGAAGAGTACAACAGAAAAACTAAATGAGAGAGGAAATTCCCCAAAGGGACTTCCCAAATATTCACCACCACTGCCGCTGAAAAGAAGAGTGAGATTCTGGAGGAGCATATCCACAAGAGAGACCAAACATGATTACTCGTATTGAATAATAGCCAATCTGAATACATCAATAAGTAAACAGTGCTTGACTCAAGTTTACTTTCAAAAATATGACTCAAATTCTGTAGAGTATGATTAATAAAAGCAAAAAACAACCTTACTGTTAGCTGAAGTTCAACTTAGTGATACAGATACACCCAGTTCATCCAATTTACAATGTTCATCTTATTGATTCCAACAATTCCTTTTACAGCATGACTGTATTATCTTGTACATAATCACAAATCTGATCCAAGCAAAACTGTTCTTCCTTTTCTAAAACAAAATGCATACCTCTGTAGGAAGCTAAAGGATGTCTGTGAGCAAACTAAGTCTCAGATTTATCCAAATCCTCAGAAGTAGCAACTGGCTGCCCCTTTTCAGGTGAGAAAAGACTAACAGGATAAACATAAAGGGGGAATATGAGCAAAGATGGAAGCCATTTGAAGTCACAACGTCAAAATATCAGAGGACAACACAGACTTAAGTAACCTCAGCAAGGAATTTCTCTGTTGCATGTGCTTAGAACAGCTACACCACGAAGAACATCAAATGAAGCTCCTATCAGTATGGCTCAGACCAAGTCTGGAGAAGTTATTACCACACTGAAAAGAAGGGTCAATCAGTAATGTTCACTTCATATTCTTCCATCGGATTTTCCTTTCTAAATCCTGTAGGAATTTTCACAGGAAGGAAGAATATTGATCAAGATCATTATTTCTTTATATACTCAGCTAAATCACTGGAGTATTTCTGGTGATAGGAAACAAGTGTCTTTCAGGCAAGAAAGGAGACAGCAGTTGTGCATATATGTTTAGTACAGAAGGTCACTTTGGCATAGCCTAGATATTGGATGTGTCTTTTCGTTGCTCACTCTAGTTTGTATGTTGTGCAGTCTATTGTCATTCAGAATACTGATTTAATGACAGTGAAAGAAATTTTTGCTGGAAGGTGTAGTATGCTTTAGAAAATATCTGGAACTACTGAAAGATTAGATGGCACTTCTTGTGTGTCTACAACTGGTAAACTTTGCATGAAAAAGAAATGCCCGTCATCAATATAAAAATAAATACGTCAGCAGTGTAAATGTCTTTGGAGAAAACAGCAAATCTAATATGTCACAGTACTGAAAAAAGAGAGCATCTTGCAATGCTTCCCCTAAAACCACAAGGGCTGAAACAAAAACAATTCAAGACCCTTCCCCAGAGGTAAAATGGAATGCATGACACATGCATCACTTTTAGGGGACCAAATTCAGCTGTCAATTATATTGATATCAGTCTGGCAATATCCCACTTAAATTATTCTAGAATTAGATGCCTGTGAAGGAAAGCAAATTTGGTCTAAATTACCTTCCCTATATTAATTACTATATAGCATATTTTCATCTCTTTTTTCTATTTCATGTTATAAGCTGTTGCACAGTAATACATATTTCTAAACACAAGAAATACTGCTGACAAATGTCATAAATGAGATTATAAATACTAGTCTAATTTCTGCTTTTATTATGACAACATTATATAAGTACCAAATGATACAGATTTCCCTAATCTGCAGTCTCCCTCTAAAGACATCACAGAAAATACCACAATAATTATGTTAAAATGCTGAACAAGTGCTTATAATGTTAAAATATCAATTAAAAAAATATTTAGTTCCTTGCTTCCTACAGATTAGAAAATAATTTTGAAATTCTTTCCTGTACATAAATATCAACGAGCACAGAGAAAGAGAAATGTCTTTTGCTATGATCACATATTGAAAACAACTGATTTTGCTTACATGCAGAAAACCAGAAATGCAAATAAAAAAATAACACTTCATCATGTCCATGTATTTTTGAGTAGGCCAAATCAACAACTCTCCACATGGTAACTGTGAAATGTACAGTGCCTGGTATCAGGAACAATATTCTGAATCTGGCACATTAATCAGTCTTGTTTTCAAGCTTCTCATATATTATTCTGCATAGATTTTTTTTTTCCTGTTTTCTTCTGTTATCAGAAAGCATCTGCAGGAGTGCACGCCTGTTAAAACTAGTATAAAATTAATAGCTTTAAACTGATTTATGCTACTTTATCCTGCAACAGAATTTGTTTTGGTACATATGTTTTTGCTTTTTTTCCCGTACAAACACCAACATTTTTGACACTTGAAAGGAACAATTTTGAGGATGTGACAGAAGATGGCAAATATCTGTTTAACTGCAAAAATATTTACACTCTGTATATGTCTGAGCTATTGTTAACATTTCCAATACAACAAGCTTTCAGCATGCAGAAATACACCCTGCATTTATTACATTCGCCTGTATATGTAAACGGAGAATGCATTTATAAAATACAAATAATTTTTAAAAACTACATTTATGAAATAAAAATCTATTACAAAATGCATATGGAAAATGGGAGTCATAATGACTGAAATTACTAAATCAATAGAGCACAAACTATGGAAAAAATAAACAAACCATCCACTTTTCCCCAGCCTCCCACTGAAGCACCTACACATATCTATACCCAGTACAGAGGAGACTGATTGCCCCAGCCCAGAATGCACCAGTTTACCAGAGTCCAAGTTGAAATATCTTCCCTGTCACAGAATAGTTAAGGCATCCCTAATTAACTGTTTTGCTTTATCTGCCACTCCCTAAATACAACTTCCATTTAAATACGAAGAGGGCCTGCAGAATTATACCCACCCAAAATCTGAACATTTTAAATCGTAACCAGGCTCTGCATAAAGAAACAAAAAATTTTCAGGGACACAAATTAATCTTTTCATTTTATAGAGTAAAAATGTTTCAATAAACACAGTGCATGCAATATAGACCCTTAATAAGGAAGAGTTTACAGAAAATGCACAAGAGGTATGGTTTTCTGCTGTTTCCTGAACAACAGACAAACATTTTTCAACTGCAAGCTTATGTTGGTCAAGTGCAATCGCTTCAAGCTCGGATACCTAAGCTAGGGGTTCCAGAAGAGGTTGTAGCCTTACAGTCCCTGACATCAAACCTACATCTTTTTAATCGCCCATTCACAAATGTTTGCTGGATTTACCTAGGAAACACAAATCTTACCTAAATATGACAGCAGGTATGTAGAACAGTTATTATTAACAGAATCACCGCTAGGAAGAGCCAGAAACACCCAACACTGCTCCTACAGACTTGCAAGTAAGATTCTTGAAGTCATTCTACACCTCTTTAAAGAAAAACATTAAACCAAGAACTCCTTCCACAACTTCACACAAACATACAGGACCTGGACCTGGACTCAGGTTCTACCCTGGACTCAAAGCATTATAGGCTGGTCAGCCCCTATTTTCAAACATACCCTTGAATCTTGAATCAAAGTGTAGAGGTGCTGTGAGTCTTGTCAGACTCTTGGGTCTTGGGCAGACATGTAATAGCATGTGTTGGATCTCTACACGTACTTAAAAAAAAAAAAAAAAAAAAAAAAAAAAGGGCATGGGAAATAGGTAGTGATGCCATCAGATAATAAAGACTTGTCATTTAATACTTCTGGTCAAGTTCCAGAAGAGGGAACTGTATATAGAATTCAAATGATAACTATGATAACTATAGAGCAAACACTTTTAAAAAAATTTTCTAAGCTACGTAACCATGACATTTCAATGCGGTTCCTGGTAGTTGCAGAAACTTACATTTAAAAGTGCTGCATTCCTTTTATGAGCTGTATCAGCTGCTTGAGTTTGCCATGTCTTTTTAGTCTTTTTGTCTCCTAGATAAGTCTCCATCTGCTGTAGCAGCTCTGATCTCTGAGACAGTCTACAAAGGAAAACATTTTGCTAAGTGGGTAGAACATTTTGCTCAGGAGCTAGAAAATAACCTTTTTACCTTACCCAGTTTTCTCAAAACTATGGGGCTAATTAAGCCGGCTGTAGGGTGGGTGTGCTGGGGGAGGGAAAAGGTACAGGCAGACACCACCTGCTGTGCTTGTATGAAGCTATAATGTTGCAACCAGCAGTCCTCATATGCTAAGGTGCTTAGAAGCACTGAATCTCCCAGAACAGTAAAGACAGGGTGGGTTGGGGTCACTTGATCAGTGCTACTCTTGTTCACTGGCAAGTACTAGTTGTTATAAGAAAAGCAGATTTTTCTGAATCATTACTGTATTTGCTTCCCAGTCTGAGTTTACAGGGCAACAAAGAAGCAATTCTATAATTCAAGGGTAGAGTGAGAGAATTCAGTTACCTTCCCCAAATGCGAATTTAACAGTGACAGGAGGTTAACAATGGCGACCTTAAACTAGTATCACCATTGGAAGTCAAAAACCTCATCAACCTAAATACCCTTAACTGCAAGGAAGGCTGCTAATTCCAAGAGTTCATGAAGGAAGAGTGCCACCTCCTGGAACACCAACCCCCTGGTGAAATACCGTTGTGCTCTGTACAGAGCTTGGATTCGCTGTTCACAGGATGGTCATCTGCAGTTGCGGGGGTCTCGCAAGACCACAACGCAAACTGCTGCGAGGCAGGCCACAGCGCTGAAACAATTACTTACATCTCTTCGTGTCTTCTAGCAAGGTGAACCTCCTGAGCCAAATAGGATGACATTTCCAGTTGTTTGCCCCAGTTTTGTCACTCTATAAAAGGAAAAGCAAGTGCAATTAAAATCTTCCAAAGACATCCATGAACATACACTTTTCAGTATTAAACCGTGTTAAAAAGTTGAACGCATGATATTTATTTATCAGCTATCTATGCAAAACCTTCCACAAGATACTGTCACGTTATGCTTTGAATACACGCATGCTACTAAAGTTCACAATATGTTTCAGAAAAAACTTACTGTATTCTAATAATTTATGAGATAACTAAAATTTGACTTTCAAGTTTCAGATTTAGCATTAGTTTTCCCAACTTTCAGGTGCTTACAACCCCACACACAAACTATGTGCTGGCATAATTTGTGTATTACTGTTTACATTAGTGATTTCTACCTTCTGTCATGTTATTCTGAACACAAAGTTGTACTTGTATACAAGTATAAACCTCCCACTGAAGTATACTTGTAAATATAATTTATAACTACCTCTCACAGAGACAGTGCCCTGTTCATAGAAATCTATGTTGAAAAATTAAGTGAAAACTTCTTGAACTCAGCTCTTCAGTAGTGTAACAGTGCATGATGGAAAACATAGATTAAATCGGTTTAGGTTTTTTTGTTTTTTTTGTTTTTTCAGATATGGAGATTAATTGCCTGCTGCATGCAAATGATAATCCTACAGCATTTTTCAGAAGGCTGAATGTGTTTTACAGTGTAGTATTTTCTCACCTCGGAGGTAACTGCATTGTTGACACATTAAGGAAAATTAAAGAAACTATCACATGTTCACAGTGTCAAAGGGTGGGAGAAATAAAAGATCTTATCAAGATATGAATAGGAAAGGCCTCCTCTGCCGTCCACAGGTAAGTTCAAAGCAAGTTATTTACATGTGCATGCTGCCTTCAGCAGAGGCGGTTTTCTAGGGATGAATGTTTCACCACCTTCTGAAAAACACTTCTGTGCAAGTGGCCTACTGCTGATGCCTCCCCTTCGTTGAACAGGGAGCGCATCTCCGCTGTGCTCTTTCCCTCAGCCACGGAACTTCACGCTGTGAGACCAGGCGAGACCTGTGCTCGGCAGGCCGCACCTTTACAGGCAACGGGAGAAATTACATCACGGGGAGCACAACCCCACGCACCTTTTTTCTTTAGGGGACCCTAGCTGACAAACTAGCAATAAACAAGCACCCAGTGCGCGCACCCTCCGCCCGCAGCACCAAGGGGCGATCGCTTCACACGCAGCTTCCCGGGGCGGCTGCCAAGGCGTGAGGCGAGCCGGGCTGGGCCGCGGCCGGCGGGCCCACCCAGCAGCCCTACGCTCACGCCCCTGTCTCGCCAGGAGCCCTCAGGAGGTGCCGAGGGGCGGCAGGAGG